GTGCTAAGCAAATTCAGTGAAGCAGAAAATATCACTGAAGGGGAAACAATGGGAAGTGACTTTCTTGGCTACACTATGAGCTGTCGCGATATTTACACGTGTTTGTGGATAATGTAGGAAACTCTGCTGCTTGCATGCCCTTCCAGATGACACTGGTAGGCTTGAAATGCCATGTTTCCCACTTGACCTGGGCTCTTAACATCATCCTCTGATGGCAGGCAGCCAGGCTAGGGGAAAACTACAGATGGGTGAGTAGATGGGCCCAGGTACAGGATCTTGCACCACACCTTTGGGCTTCCTCTGGAGCCAGCACCAGGCCTAGTGATCAACAGGCAGCTCTGGTCCCTTGTTGGCAGACAGCTTGCTCAGCAGAAGCATGGAGGAGTGTCCATTTCCTCACACCCTCCCCAGAACTGGGTATTTTTTTTTAAAGACCTTTGTGAAGTTCAATCATGCTATTTTTAATCTTGGATTGGACATGTAATAATATTTAGTATGTCTTCATTTGTGAATGATCTAAGCATGTCTTTTATCATTTCTTTATTGGGGATAGTAGTATGTTTCATATAAATGCATATAAAATTTTAATATATTAAGGGCATTGGACCTCTTCATATTTCATAGGGTTTATTTTACCAAGTTGTCTTTTTTTTGTTGTAATTTTTCTCGTACATATGGAAGTTAAAAAAATTAAGTAGTTAAATATTACCTTTTCTTTTAAGACTTTTCCATCTTTTAAGCTTACAAAGTCACATTCCATATGGTGGTTTGAGACATATTCATCTATAACCCCACTAGTTTTATTTAAAAAAATTTTTAAGTAACTGTTTAATCCACCAGGGGCTTATCTGAATGGACGATGTTAGGTGGGAACTCCAAAATCAAGGCAGTGACAAATTCAGTGTTTAGCAAGGACCTGTTTCCTACATCTTCCTATGTAGAAGGGATGAAGGAGCTCTCTGGGGCCTCTTTTTTTTTTTTTTTATAGTCAAATATACATTTCGAGGGGGTGGGTATTTATTTATTTACTTATAGGTATCATTGATATACAATCTTATGAAGGTTTCGCAAGAAAAACAATGTGGTTACTACATTCACCCTTATTATCAAGTCCCACCCATGCCCCATTGTAGTCACTGTCCATCAGTGTAGTGAGATGTCACAGAGTCCCTACTTGTCTTCTCTGTGCTACACTGTCTTTCTCTGGGGCCTCTTTTATGAGGACACTAATCCTATTCATAAGGCTCTACCCTGATGAACTAAGCACTTCCCAAGGGCCCACCACCAAATACCATCGCACTGGGGATTAAGTTTCAATATGTGAATTTGGAGGGATGTAAATATTTGCTCTGTAGCCACCTTCCTCCTGCATTTAGCACTGAGTCTGACTTAGAAGAGGTTTTGACTACATTTTGATCTTTGGATGTAAAATTTTGACTATATAGCAGAGAAAACATCATGGCCACACTCACATTTGTCATTTGGAAAAGATTTCACAATGCATGACATATGTTCCTCACAACATGTTCGAAGTAAATGTTAGGTTTCCACTGTGCAGATGAAGAAACCAAGGCCCCCAGAAGCTAAGAGCCCACTTACCTTGGCAGACTGACCACCAAGGGCTGGGGCCAAGACTCCTGCCAAGGCTCTTAGGGGACCTTGTCCCTCTGCTTTTCTCAGAGCTTTGTACATCCTCATCCCCCTGCAGGTCACCTCTGCATGTAGCATGGGGCCTGGCTCCCGTGGGGGTTTGAGGAACAAATGGGCCTAAGATTCAGTCTCACAAGGCAGACCTCAGGCATCCCCCTGGCCTCTCTTTGTGGCCAGCACCAAGGCAGATGTGCTGCTGAAGACTTCTGCCCACGTGCCCTGGTTACCACAGGTACTCATGCTCCATACCCAAGGAGTGCAGGCATGAGGCCTCTGTCCCAGGAGAACAGGCACAGTAGCTGTGGCATCAGGGATGGAGGCTCCCGCTCTGCCTCACCAGTTCCCATAGGTCTGGGGTCCAAAATGATCAGTTCCAAAATGCTGCCACTTCCCTTTGAAGTTTATGCCTCTAAATCACAAGCAGTGCGGAGAAAGGAGCCGGGCCAGTTCCCCACCACTGCAGCATCCCTCTCTCCCTTAGGAGTTACTTTCGTCACCATCCATTGCCGAAATGAATGGAGGCCGCACAGCTGGCTTTATTAAATATGAATGAGTCGCAGCCCATGGCCCCCACGCGGTCACCTGCCCACTCCATCTCTGGCAATTACTGCACTGTACACACTGTGCCAAGGGGCGCAGCGGTCCCTGCTTGCCCTTGCAGACTGACACCACCCAGCAGGGGCAGGGCTCGGGTCCGCAGCTGCCCTGCCCCTGATGGAAAGCCACCTCTGGGCTTCCAAGCAGTGCTCAATTCTGAAGACAGGGACAGGGAACCTCCCATAGAAGGCTCATGGATTTTTGGGCTCTGAGCTCTGGTCAGATGTGGTCTGTGGCTTTGTGACCAAAGACTAGGTCTCCTGGCATGTGTGGCTTCTGAGCTCTGTCTGCATGTTAGCGGCGTGTGGGCAGCACCCAGACATTTTAGGTTCCAGGCAGTTTTGAGATTCAGCCAAGGTCAAGGTTAAGAGCATGTGTGCATGCACACACCAGTACTGAGCACACATTTGATGTGTGTTACCTTAACCCTCACAAACATCTACTAGATTGTAAACTTCCTGTTAGTGGGTTCTTGTTAGCTCTGTTCACTGCTGTGTCCCAGGTGCTGGGGACAGAGTAGATGCTCAGACACTGCTGAATGAAAGAATAAGGGTGTTCTGGGTGTTGCTGTTTTGGGGCTAATGAAGTTGGGGTTATAGAACTTAGCCAAGGTTCCACAGCTAGTGAGTATCCATGATGGGAACCCAATGCAGGCCTGGCACAGCCATTGCTCCATCCTGCTAAGCCGGCCGGACCTGCTAAGCCAGCTGGTAGCGCGCCTTACTGGGGGCAGGCACTGCTCCTCTCACCTCAGCGCAAGCCACAGTCCGACGCTATAGCACACTGCTGTAGTTGCATGGATTTTGTTTTAACCCTGATTTCATCAGAAAAGCCAACAAAATTCCCCACAATCCCAGGTGGCTTTGTCAAAGATCATCTATGAAATTGTAAAAACAAATGAAATCAAATTCTTTTTCTGAACTTAAAAAATTATTTTTATTTTAGGAACCAATAAAATTATGGCAAATATTTACAAATAATTATCTCACATAAAGGTTACATAAAATCAATTCTTCACAAGTAACAGTCACTCATGAAAAGACACACAGATATTGAAACTACGCCAATCTTATTGCAAGTTTCTCCAACTAATCTAAAATAAAAGTGTTGCAGTCAACCATTTAACTTAGAATAAAACCACAAATTCCAGTGTTGACGAGAAAAAAAAGTTAAAAAATTAAACCAAAACCCCACCCTGTTTTCTCCCAAGTCCCACCCCCAGCCCCTGCCCTCGTCCCAACAAAAGAAAAATATGTCCAACATCTTTGGCAAATTGGCACTGCTGTAATTACATTCAAATATTATTACACACAAAAGCAACACACGTCACTAAGAAAAAAAACCACCAATATTTCAAGTCAGTTTTCTACTAGAAAAAAGAATACAAAACATACACATTTTTAAGAAGCATTTTTTTGTTTTCAATCCGTTGGAGACAGATCATCTCCTACTTTCCAAGGCAATTCCATTGTGGGTTTTTTTTGTTGTTGGTTTTTTGTACTTTTTTTTTTTTTAACAAGTAAGCATTTATGCAGGCATCACAAACTTTGGCGGATACAGTAGATATGTAATTCTTTGATGCTGGAAGGGTCAGTCCCTAGGACAAAGCCAACTATCTCAAAGAATGAAAAGAAAAATCCATGTGTCTTCCTGGCAAAGAGTTCCATTTGCAATGTAATCTGCATTTCTACAAATACTCAATGTCCAAAGGCCACGAGAGGGTGAAAAACCAGGGCGGTGTCTTCCAGCAAGAGTCATGGCAAAACCCGGGTCCAATTTCCACCCTTGGCCCAAACTTGGAGGCAAGAAGCTGAGGCCCTCACTGGCCACTGCCCCACACTGTGCAGGCAGCTGGGGGCCAGGGCCTGCCTCCTCCTGAGCCCCCGGGTAAGCTGCTGCCAGGTCTGCTCACCTTCTCTGACCAAAGGCAAGGAGGGCAGGCAAGAATTGGCATGAGGAGACTCAGTGCTTTCTCTGAGTTTCAAGTATGTTTGAGGCGTGAGTGTGCATGTGTGTGCGTGTACACACTAATGTGCACGTATGGAGGGGAAGGCCAGATTTGGAGACTGAACTTTGCAGGGCATTTCAAATAGACTCAGGACTTATTTATTTTATTTTTTAGCTTTATAGCAATTAATTGGCTATTGATTGGTTGGGATGTTCAACTCTCCATTTCCTCTAATACAATAAAATAGTTTCATTAAAATGTATTCATGCTTGAAAATAAGGCAGCCATTAAATGGTTTCCTTTCTGTTCCACTCCAAGGGATATGCACCGTGTGTAAATCAAAAATCCATCATCCAAAATCACTTGTTCTTAATGGTGCTTTTAGAGAAGAGGAGGGACATGGCAACAAGCATGGTGATTTGGGTGGACAGCGGCAGGACTGGGTGGGCAAGGCTGCAGTGTGGCCTCCTCCAGCCAGGCCTCAGAGTCAGGCAGGGGGCATGTGACTCCCAAGTCATCTCTCACCCTGGAGCTTCACACACTGCCTGCCCGGTGCCACACTCAGAGCTGCCCAAAGCTGAAAGGGGGATTCCTTCCCTCTTTCTCCTGCCTACAGGCCAAAGGCATTACCTGAGATGACTCCATTTTAGAATTCATCAAGAGTCCCTCAAAATATAGATAAAACTGCTGCATTTTCTCCATGTGCTGCTTGGGAGTCTAAGATATGGAAGAATATCTAGACTTACTGAATGGTGGTTACATTTACTCCAACTCAGAGATGAGCTAAACAGGACCCCTGGGAACATGCAGACTGAAACACGAGAATGGCAGGGATGTGACTAGGAGGTCCCCTTTGGTCCAGGGAGTCTAGAAACAGGACCCCAGTGCTGAGAAATTACAGCAAATGAAAGAAAGACTGGTGCCTGCCTGCTTCTAGCAAGCAGCTCATTTCAGAGAAGCTGCAGACCCCTCATCAGGATAGTGGGCGGCCAAGGGACTTGTTTCCAGTCCTCTGCAGCAGCCCCTCGGGACCTGGCCGCCTGTGTGGAGGCACAGCCAGGAGCTGACAGAGGGGAAGTACAGATCAACACTGTGGTTCCACCATGAATATGCAAGAGGGAACCCTGAGGTTCGAGGATCTGAGGACAACAGGGGACAAGGGCTGAAGGGGCTGCCAGGAGGTGGGGCAGCCTGCTGGCTCGGAGTCATGGCCTAACTGTCCGACGTTCCAATAATGTATTTTGTTACCTTTTAGGAAATGTACTTGTCTTGGACCTCTCTGAGGCCTAAAGAACTAAGGGAATAAATTCTCCTGGAGCACTGGTGTGCATGCCTGGAAACCATCAGAGGCAGGCTCCTAGATGGGTGACAAGGTCAAGGCTGCACAGCCAGCCTCTCAGCAGGGCTTCTGGGGAGCTGAGCCAGCCCAGAACGCTGTGGGGTCCGCCCACTTCAGCCCAGGTTTGGCCTGTCCGGGAGCCTGGACTTTGCTCTACTCTTGAGGAAGCGGTGTCTCAGCCATATCTTGTTTCTAGGCATTTGTCTGGAGTGCTTGGTTTGTTGTTTGTTTTTAAGATTTGCTCCCCATGGCTTGGAGCTAAATTCTAGCTGAAATGTCATCCAGAAATAGTCCCAGGGGCTGCCAAAGACAGGGCAATGGCTCCAGGATGTGACTTCTCATAAAGGGATTTCACCCCTCAGTGCCCTGTGGCCACATCTGGGGCTCTGTCCTGCACATGTGAAAGGCCTGAGCAGCACTGACCTCCCCTCCAGGCCACAGTCTCCCCACGCCCTTCAGATGTTCCACCCCACCCACTTTCAAAGCTCAAACAGTCTGCAAGAGCCCAGGATGAGAAGGGAGGGGCCGCGGACCCAGGGAGACTGCTCTTGACACTGAGTGGTTGGACACCTCTCTCTGAGCTCACATCTCCCCCAGATCTGCAGTGCAGGGCAAGGAGGTAAAGAAGAAAGGGGGCATTGGACAAAGATTGGGGGTTACAAGCTGGTCACCAGTGGGGCAAATTTGGCTCACAGACATATATTTCTGCTTGTAAGAGCATTTTAAGAGCTTTCACACCTGAATGCTGCTGGAGAGGACACCTTGGCTCCCACCAGCCCTGGCCGCCTGCCCCTGGGGCAAGTTTGCTCCACCTGTCTGGCCCCGGAAACAGTTCAGGGCCCTTGAGATTGTGATGTGTGTTTCCAGGCCTGCGGGTCCCCTGATGGCCCGCTCAGGGACTCCTGTGTATTGTCACAGCGAGGCATGGAGTCTGATCCACAATGGGAAGAATAAAGAATGAGGAGGAGTCCATGGCACTGGAGCCCTGGACCCTGGGAGCCCACTAGGCCCGTATCCAGGCCCTGTCAGGGCTTCTGGGGTGGCCTTGGAAAAGCTCTGGTGCCCTTGGAGCCTCAGGACACAGCAGGGCAGGAGTCTGGGTGGAACTTCAGAAGAACTCCTGTGAATCTGGACAAAGAATTCACAGGCTTCAGTGTAACGGGGATCAAGTTGGATCAGCAAAACCGCCAGCCCCCGGGTCCCTCCTACAGGCCAGCCTGTGGCTCCCTGTTCTCCTTTCTCATTGTGGGTCTGGGGGTTTCTAGGGGATTGAAGGGTGTCTCTAAGCCATCCACTCCCATGACAGGAGCCCAGTTCTGTGAAGACCGAATGGGGCTCAGAGATCTGACAGGTCACTTGACGTCTATCTTGCACGTGAGCCCAAATCTCAATTTTCCCACCTGTAAAATGGGCATTGTGATCTTCGTCCCAGGGAACGGTCAAGGATTGCAAGCACCACACAAATGTCAGTGATGAAAGGGCTAACCCTACCTGAGGTGCCTTGGAAGTACAATGTTGGATATGATATGTCATCAAAGTTTTCAAGGCTGGAGCTAGACTTCTGGTAGGAAAACTGTTCATAAAATCCACAATGTCCTTTTCAAAAAGTCAGAGCTGGAACACAGGGTTGAAGGCCCATGGAGGAACACCCCAGGCTTCCTGCCACAACGCTGGTGAATGCCCTCACCTTCTGTTGCCCATTCACAGTTCTCTGGCATCTACTCAATGATTTGCATCCTTTGGAACCTTTCTCCCCAAGCTTCCGGGCAGCTGCATGGGCAGGGTGGGGACTCCTGAGTCGGGGAGAGCAGATAAGTGTATATGAGCAAGCACGTGCATCTGCCTACTCTTGGCCTTCTGCCTGGCAGCCCAGGAATCAAGAGGTGGTCTAATAAATACAAATGCAACCTGAAGACCAGCAGAGCCTCAGGGGAGAGAGGAAGGACATGGAAGAGACTCAGTGCAGGGCAGGAGGAGGCACAGGATGGGTGGAGGGGCACACGTGGGGCCAGGTGAGCTTTGCCAAGGAGGGATGGTGTGCACTTTAGGCTGTCAGTTCAGGTAAGGCTGACCTTCTTCCAACAGCCTGAGACCACAAGGAGGGACCAGCACCTAGAGATGTGGGTGCAGGAGGCCAGGAGACCTGTGCTGCACACTCTGACCCTACCCTTCCTGTCAAAGGGAGAGAGGGAGGCCGGGAGAGGCCAGGCAGCATACCTTGTCCGCCCTGCCTGGCAGAGGGAGGCTGGAGCCAGATCAGCCCTACTCCAGAGGTGGGCTCCAGCCCCAGCCAGCTCCCTTCCTTGCCCAGCAGGCTCCAGGGGCTGGGTGTGCCGGCAGTGAGCATACTGGCTCCTGCCACCCCACCCTGGGGGATGGGCCCTCTCAGCAGTTCCCATAGCCCAGGACACCCCGTCTGGGCAGTGGGTCCAGAACCATCTCCCACTGCCCTCACTGTCAACTTCCCTCCCCAGGGAAGGGAAGATCAGCCATGTGCCAGGGCTCAGGGGACTGAATTCCAGCCCCACCTCTGCCAGTCACTACTTGGGGACTCCACCTTGCTGAACGTCAGCTTCTTCTTCTGGCCCACCACCTTGTAGGCGTGGTGTGAGGAGAACACTTGGTGGTAAATAGAAGAGGTCTGCTCTGTCTCCCTGCATGGCTCTGGGCTTCCCCAAGCTGGGCTGTTTTCCCTGAGGGGAGCTGGACTAAGTCTTCTGCAAAGCTGCCTCCCTGCCCTCTGGCTGTTCTGATGTCCCGTCTGGTCCAAATATTAGCAGGACTCTGGCGCCTGCCCCTTTGTGCTTGCTTTGAAGAGGAAAGCCTGCCCCAGAGGAGCCTGCCACAGACCCAGCATCCTGGGAGAGGGGAGGGGAAGCAGGGAGCTCTCAGGTGACCCTGCTGTACCATGGCAGCTGAGGCTCAGAGAGGTGAAGGGTCTTGTATGAGGTCCCACAGCAAGGCAGAGGTGCAACCAGGACAAGACCTCTCAGGCCTGATAACCTCAAGTGGGGGTTCTCTCTGCCCCAGCTCTTTGCCAACTTGGTGACATTTCAACATTGGGGACACTGTCACATGAGATGGCAAAGTCCACTGTCATTGCTGTAATTCAGCCCAGATTTGGATGGGGCCTCCACCTGGCTGTTTTGAGTTGACAAGAATTGAGGCCCCAGGCAAAGACATGGTGGGCCTAGCAGCCCCATCTCAAGCCACTCACAGTTCACACACCAGTTCCTCACTGCCAGTCCCGCTCCTCTTCCTGGAGGCCTTCCTCTGTCCCCCAGATCCTCCCAGGTGGCTCTTTCCAAGCTCCCCTTGAGGCTCCCAGGGCCCTTGGCTGTGGCCTTGACCATCATGGCCCCTTGCATCCACAGGTAGATACATACTACACAAGGTGAGGCATCCGCCCCCACCTAGCACCTCCATTCCAGCTGCATTCGAGGCTCCACAAGGACAGGGAGGGGCAGATCAGAGGCTTCTGGCTGACTGCTGCAGGTGTTTGTGGTCCTCAGTGCAGGGAAAGCCCTCTTTGTTAATCACTGTATACATGGCAGGGACAGATTGCCCAGAACCCACCCGCTGGCATCCTGGAGGGTGGGAAAAGTGTCCATGGTGGCTGTCCAATGTAATTTGGGCCTGGGAGTGCCTCAGAAAACACATCCCAGTTCAGTTCAGCGGATCCAGGGTCTGGGGCATCAAGAAAGGCTTAGGCCGTTCCTTGGACCGTGATCTCCTGGGTCCCGTCCAGCCCTGATGTCCAAAGTCCACAATAGACAATATCTTACTTTAGAACTGTAGCTGAGGAATCTCACAGATGGTTCTCTTTGAGTCCTTTGATGTGGAAAAGAGCTGCTTGCACTGCATTAGGCCCAGGGAAACAGAGGCAGGAAGCTGGGGCATCTCCCCAAAGTGTATTTCTCTTGGGGAGGGATTTTTGGGGAGGGAGGGTCTCTTGGAGCATAAACACCCCAGTGGGACTCCTAGTCCAGAGAATAAAGAAGTAGCAGTGAACAGGAGGCCAGGCCCTGAGGTGGGCATCGTCAGTCTCAAAGACAGCTCTAAGCCCACCTGCAGGTCACCCAGGGCAGAGGGGCTGCTCTGTGCACAGGTCTAAGATGTCCTGTGACGCATCAGGAGTGCTGGATGTGTAATGGGTGGGCAGTCCGCTCAGTTGGACCCTCAGGCCCACAAAAAAGCAAGAAAGTATTTACATGGGTGCTGCTGAAGCAACAAAAGCAAGCTTTCCCTCCTTCCCAGGCCTGGGGCAGGAAGACAGTGGGTGGTCAGACAGCTGGGGGACTGGCAGGCTGGGCGGGAGCTGCAGCTAGCTGCAGAACAGTCTGTTGGTTTGTGGAGACCCAGTCGCCATTGGGAAGAAGCTCACTGATTGATCAGAGGTGGACCTGTGTCTGCAAGTCCAGCAGCCCTGCCATAGAACCCCCGAGTCCCTGGCAGGAAAAGTGGGGAAAGGAGCTTCAGACAAGTGGGGGGTGGCTGGGCACGGTCTGATTGGGCCCCTTGGCTGTCTTCAGAAGGGACTGGGAGGCTATCGCCCTCAGTGATATGTGTCTTAAGTGCTTGGCGCCTGCCTGGCTCCGAGGGTCAGTGACGATCATAGGCAGCAGCGGCTGCAGGCGGGGCGGCTCCTCGGGCGGCAGCACTGTAATAGTACGGGGAGCCTGGAAGACACAGAATAGGCAAGGAGGTTGGAGGTCACTCTTGTGCCCACAGCCTCATACCGGGACCCCTTTTCCGCCAGTGTCTCCCACCTCTGTCCCTTCCTCTCTCTCAACCCATCTAGGTCACCATCCCCTCACCAAGACCTCTGTCTCAGTCTGTTCCCTAAACTTCAGGCCTGATCAGGGTTGCTACCTGCTCACAAGATTTCAAGGCCTTCCTAGAGTTGGGGTGAGCAGACTGGAGCCCTTGGGTCAAACCCTCCCTGCAGCCTGTTTCGGCCAGTAAAATGTAGTAGAAGCTGGCCTTGACTGTTCGTTTCTGTGTGGTCTGTGGCTGCTTTCTGAGGCAGAGCTGACTATGGTAACAGAGATCGTATGGCCTACAAAGTCTAAAATGTTTACTATTGCACCCTTGACAGAGCAAGTTGCCATCTTCTGACCTGGAGGATGAAAAGTCAACCCTTCTTTGGTCAGCCTGCAGATGTTTGTGCCACAGCCCTGCCAGCCACTCTGGGGGCACCTCTCATAACCACTGCCCTGCCCCAGACCCCAACACACACCATACTCCAGGAAAACAAAACTCTTCAGAGCTATCTCAAATATACCATAATGTAACAGCACCTGCTACTAGCTGAGCATTTCCTCTGCCCTACACCATTATGTCCTTTACATATGTTGTCTCTTTTAACCTATGGCATAGGTAGAGCTAGCCCTTTTATCATACCCATGCCTCTGTGACTTTTCCTAGGCTCTGCTTCCTGCCTGGAACACCTTGGCCATGTCTTCCCTTTTCCTGTCTACTAAACTATTCCACCTCCTTTAAGTCCCTGTGCCCCTGTCTCCTCCCCTGGGAGCCCCCTAGCCTGAGCTCACACTCCGGTGCAGGCTGGACCACGTGCTCTGATCACTTGTTTCTGTGCTTCCTCCCTCACTGCTGGGCAGAGCCCAACAGAGGCAGGGGCTGGGCTCTGCTCTTCTTGGTGTCCGTCCCCAGTCCCCAGCCTGGAGTCCGGCTCAGGCACATGCTCAGCCAGGTGTGCAGAGTAAACAAACAGCACTGAGTGAGCAAGCAACAGTGAAGACCTCTGCCTGTTTGTTCACTTATTTTCTGGCCCTATTGGGTACAGTGCTAGGCAATAACACATAAGTATCAGCCTGACACAGGTCAGTGTTCAGTGTCAGGAAGAGGACCAGAGCTCTGAGGAAAGAGGTCTGGGAAATGCAAGATTATTTTGTCAGGCTCAGGCTTCCTGGAGGAAGTGGGGTGGGCTGGGCTTGGAGAACAGAAGGATTTGGACATAGGGGCACTGTGGTACGTGAGTATATGGGGGAAGGGCAGGGTGCCACCTTGTTGCCTGTGAACTGGAGAGAGAGCCAGTGTGAGGCCCTTGTACCAGTGCCCTTGTACCAGTGCTGGGTTCCTCCCACCATCTCCAGGGGTGCTGCTCTGTGCTCAAACTCCTCCCCAGGGATGAAAGTTTCTGGGGGCCTCAGGAAGACCAGCAGATTGTCAGAACCACAGAGGTCAAAGATACTAGGCCATCTCTTCTTTTTATAGGTAGGAAAACTGAGGCTCAACAAGCCAGTCATGTGCCCAGAGCCCCAGAGCCTCTCAGTGCCAGAGCCTGGCCTGGAATTCAGGCTGTCCACACACGGCTCAGGACTCTTTACACCACGACGCAGTTCACAGCCGGGACACCCAGTGCCAGAGGGCCATGTTGACCCAAGGGAACAGCATGGACCATGTGTCCACTGGGGTCGGAAGAGTAATTCCCTAAGGGAAGTAATTAAAACCAATTCTGAAAAATCCAAACGATTCTTGGCAATTCTTTCAGATACCATAAGTGGGCACCAAGGCCTGGAGAGGGCCAGTCAGGCTCTCTCATTCTTGGCTGAGTGACCTTGAACAAGTGGCTTCCTCCCCTGGGCCTCAGTTTTCTCACTTGTAGGAGGGAGTCCCAGTGGCATTTTAGGAGGGCACGTGAGATAAGGACATGAAAGTGCTTTGGAGATGGACTTTTCTCAGCCCTTTATATACAGTGACTCTTCTTAATTCCTACAACAGCTCTATCAGAAAGGAACTAGAATTGTTCCCATTTAACATATGAGGAAACTGAGGCATAGAAAGAGTAAGAGCTTGCCCAAGTTCATACAGCTAATATGACATCAAGAGGACAGATGGGGCAGGCATTTTAGCATGTCCCACCCAGCCCTAATCAGCAGACATACCTCTCCTGCCCCATGCCCACAGGAAGGCAGTACGGCCTGGCGGCACTGACAGCAGAGGTGGGGGAAATGCCTTGCTGTGCTGTCCGGAAGGCGTGGCTACCAGGCCCATGCCCACTGTTCCCAGAGGCAGGTTTTCCAGCTGCCTCCTCTGTCAATCCTTCCCAGTCAGAGCCCTGACTCAGAGACACCTGCCGGCTTCCTCTGATCTGGGAGGGGGACACTGTTAGAAGGCAGGCCCCGGAGGACCCTGGCTCAGCACCCGCGGGCTGCCTCTCACCCTCAACTCTCCCTCACTCCCCTGACCTCTCGGCCATGCAGTCCAGGGGCCTCAGCAGGAAAGCTCTACAGCAAAATCAAAACAGCTTGCATTTACTGAGAGAAATGAAAACATCACCTCACAGAGCACTCTGCCTTCCTGGTGCCCATTAGACTTCCTTCTAGAATAAACTTGTCCTTTCTTCCGTCATTTTTCCTCTCTAATTCACATTATCATCCATTTACTTCTTGACACAGTCTCTGTCACTCTCTAATCCCCTTACCACGGCCACAGGCACACCCATTCTCATCCTAACTGACCACAGCCGGCTTCCTTCCCGCCACCAGGTCTGCCAGCCCTGCCAGCTCAGGGTGGGCCGTGCGTGGGCCCCCTGCAGGCAGTTCCGGGGGGGGGGGGAACGCTCAGTGGGAGGGAAGATCTCCTGAGAGGCCAGTGTGCAGCTCCATCAGGTGCCTTGGCCATTCTCCCCTTGGCAGTGTTTCTGTGAATATCCGGAGGGTCTCCTGCGGATTTAGCAGGAGCCCCAGGGAGCTTCAGAGCAGGTTTCTGCAGCCCCAGCACCCTCCCCAGGTAATAATCAGTCTACTTCGCCCACCCCATGGGATTCTTTCAGCTAAAACCCAGACGATACACCCTGGGGGAGGGCAGGCTGGTAGAGGTGAATGAGCCTGAAACTCTTTTGCAAAACTGTGGTAGAGGGGCCTGGCATCTCACTCAGCTTCAGGAGAAAGGGGCATCTTGCTTATTTGGGGCACTGGGCTTCAAGAGAGCATTGTGCTCAGCAACTGCTTGAATAAAGAAGCTGCCAGTGGTTATTATCCTCATTTTACACCTGAAGCAACTGAGCCCCAGACTGACTAAGACCTAACAATGATCCCCAGGTTATGGACTCGAGCAGCATAGGGGCCATTTCTCATGTTTGTAACTGTCAGACATTGTTTAAACTTGTCCTGTGTTTGCAGAGTTTCCTGGGGTATGAGGCCCAGCTCTTGGGGCTGGAAGCCAGAACTCATTCTCCCAGCTTCCTTGCTGATGGGCACAAGTGTGTCACCTGGGCCCTGCCCATTAGACTCTCTTGCATATGACCTCTCCTGGGAAGACAGCAATTTGAGGAAGTGGGCTGAGAGACCCCATCTGCTGGGGTGGTGGCAGAGGCACCCAGCTCTGGGCGGTAGCTGGGCACAGCACTCAAGCCTGCTGGCTGAAACAGCAGTGCAAAGCGAGCTCCTTGGGGGTGCTGACCTGCAACCGAGGAGTGCTTATGCTAGAGCAGCCCTGGGGTTGTGGCTGGGGGTCCCACGCCTCTCTCTGGTTCTCCTGGGGATTCTGGAAGACTCCAATACCCCTTAACAAATTTGTTTTCTGCTTAAACCAGCCAGAGTGGATTCTGGTGTTTGCAACTGAAAGTCTGACAGATAAATACAATAACCTGGCATTCAAAAATAGACCAGAGCTGTTCTCATCACACACATGGTCTGAATATTTAGGACTCGCAAGGCTTGTTCCCATGGAGGAATGAGGCCCCTTTTCCTGGCTGTAGTGCTGTTCAGACTGAATCAGTCGGGGAGAGTAGGGTTACCACATCACACACTGGTTATGAATATAGGCTTTGGAGACAAGATAACCTACATGCTATGTGACCTCAGGTATAAGTTTATTAACCTTTCTGAGTCTCACTCCATCTGTATAATAGAGACAACAGTATATGCCCCCTAGGGCTGCTGAAATGATAAAATGAGATAACCCACATGAAGGGTTTTGCCCAGTGCCTATATGATTACCAAGGGCTCATTCGGATGAAGAGAGTTTTCATTCTCTATTCACCCTCCAGGTCCTGTGCACCTCCCAGCACAAACACACTTGCCCAGGGCCCCCTACCCCTGAGCCTGTGAGCTCCCTGGGACTGAGTCTACATCTCTTCCACATGGGGCATGAAGCCCACGCTGAATCATGGGGGCTGTGAACTGGGTTTCACTCCAGCTCAAGCAGCAGAGACCTCAGATGTGGTCCAGTCCCACCCTCCCCTTGCCATCCCTTTGGGCTCTTCTGGCATTCATTCAACATTCCCCAGATGTGGCTCCACCCACCTCCCACTCCATCTCTTTGCCACACTTGTCTCAGAAGTTTCTTCCCACTTTTCTGCCTCTTGAACTCCCAGGCAAATAAGCCTACCTGACACCTCATGAAAATTAGAAAAACATGCCCACTCTGGGCAGCTATTGCCCTGTACCAGAGCTTGGGACTTTGTCCCAGGCATGTGCTGGATTTCAGCCCCCACTTGTCCCCTTGGGGAGTGCCCAGCCATACATGGAGGTCCTAGTTGAACGTGGCCTCCTTGGGGTCACACCCCTATCTCAAGAAATTCTTCCCACAGCTTGGCCACATTCTTTGGGGTCTCACAGCAGCACTGGGACCAAGTCTCCATCTGAGGAAGATCTGTAGGGAGGGGCTTCCAGGCTCAGGCCTTCAGACCCATGCCCCCACCCCCAACCCTGATGAAAGACTCTGGCTCAGGGAGACCACTTGCCGCCTGAGATGGACAGCTGGGCCAACTCAGAGCCCAGGGCCTCTCAGGAGTGCTGTTTAAGGAAAACATTAGGTAAGTATAAATCTGATTCAATTCTGAAAAATATTTTTTACCCAAACCGAAAAAGGAGTCTGACAGATCAGTTCAGAGATTTAGTCCCTCGAGGAGACCACAGACAGTAAAGGCCTAGTCTTCCATAAAATGGGATCTCCAGGCACAGGGAACTGGATTACTAGTTGGCAGTGTTTCTTATTTTGCCTGCAAGTGTTGCATGATATACACTAAACGCTGGTGTCCGTGTCATGTGTCTGTCCTGCTCACCAAGCAGGTTTGGGAAGGGGCCAAGGGTGTGACTCCATGGCCTCCTTCACAGACCCATAGCCTGGCACCTTGAGTTTGAAGACACCAGGGTCTTGCTCTTTTGAGGAAGTCTATGTTTCTCAGTCCTAAAATATTTCAGGATCTAAGGAATTAACAGGTTAATTTAAGCAGCTCTTTTTAAGCTGGAAAGACAAACCTGGATGGTCTCCAAGGCCCTTCCACGTCTGACCTTCACAGGAAGTCCTCAGCTGCCCACCCAGGAGGGATCAGGTTGCTGCCCGCAGCTGACTGGCTAAGTCTGCCGAGTGATCTGTGTGAGCCCTGGGCCCCGGATTCATGCTCCAGAACTTTGGCTCCAGCTGACACTCACCAGCTGGTTTCATGTAAATTCATTTCAACACAACAAAAGGCTCTCTTTGGCCTTCTGAGGGCTGAGCTATCCCTGCTTGGCCTTTGGGGTGGCCCAGATATCTTTGATGGCATGCACAGATCAGGCTGGCCCCAACCCTGCTCAAGCTGCCAGTCTGAGGCCTGAGTAGAGGCTGGATGCAAGCTGAGCTCAGAATGGCAGGACTCGGCAACACTTTAGCCACAGGGCAACCAGCTTCCTTCCAATGGAGCTTGCTCTGGTGATATCCACGGCAGACATCGCTGATCAGTCACCGGCCTAAGAGTCCATCAGGACAGGTAGCCACTACCAATCAATCAAGTTGGCCTCCTTGGCATCTCTTATTTAGAGATTTCTTGCCGGAATATTCAGATTCTTAAGAAACATGTCACTCTTAGGCAGGTATTTTACCTACCTTCCTCTTTCTCCCTCAGTGCCCTTTTTTCCTCCCTTACCTCCCAAAACACCTGGGAGAGGGATGAGGGCATAAGTAGGGCTGGAGTGCTGATGGCTGTCCAAGGGCCCATCATGACTCTCACATTGCAGGTGACCAGACCTCAGGGTACTGAGGGACCCCAGCCCAACAAGGGGGCTGGATGGGGCAGCCGATGGCCCGGGGCCCCACAGGACCCCCACCAATACTCACCGAGCAGCCCCGGGTTGGGGAACCTCCAGGAGTCGTTGTACGAGGGATACTGAGGGTGGCTGTAAGGGCTCCCGGAAAACTCACTCCCTGCATGCGGTGGGTGGGGAGAGAAACAGGAACCGAAGGTCAAGTCAGGTTCGGAACATGCCAGTGGCGTTCGCCTCTTCCATAAGCTGCAGGCACTTCTCATGACCAGTAAGGGCAAGTCCGGTCCACACCCTTAAGTGGACAGCTGTCCCTGGCATTGTCTATATTTCCCCCCATAACATTTTCTTATTCGTGGGAGTGAATATCAGCCTCTCACAGGCATCCCATGAAATCACCATGTTCCAGATACTCCCTTGGGCTACTGGCCCACTTTATAGGTGAGAAAACTGATGCCCAGGGTCTCTCACAAAATGGCCTTGATACAGCCACCCAAGTCTAAAGCTGCATTCAGCTTGGTTCTCAGCCCTGATGGAGGGCCTCTAGGACCCAGTGTGGATGCAGTTCCATTCTCCATATGCTTGCTTCCGGGATGGCTCTCAATGGAAGAGCCAAAGGTGGTCTCATTTGAGTCTGGCTGTCCGTACTGGGAATCCAGCGGGGGCTGTGCCTGGGGCCTTGGTCCAGTGGGTACCATGAGACACAAACTCAGGCCTCTGCCAGGAGGCAGGTGGCACTTTGCTGAGATGAAGGGCAAGCCAAGGGCTGGGGAGCACAGAAGAGGGAATGGGTTGGGGCCTTCGGGATACTGGGGAAACGGCAGCTGTTAGCTGCCCTGGGCATGCTCAGACAGGAACTGCAGGCTATGCCAGGGTGGGGACAGCACTGGGTGGAAGGGCTAAGTGGGACCTGAGGATGGCTCACTGTTGCCCAGCTACTCGTGGAGTCATGATGCTTGTGTCTGGCACTTCCTCTCCTCTTGTTTCTGGCCCCAGTAGTCTCTTTACCACTGGCCAGTCATAGGAGAGGAGTTCAGAACTCCTGTCCTCAAAGCTTGCTGCCTAGGCTCTGTAGCAGGGTGGGCCCTGCAGCTCCCCTCCCCATAGCTTGTGGCTCCCAGAGTGGGGGTTTGGGCCTGCCCCCCAGCAGGGAGCCCAGTGTCTGGCACAGCTGGTGTTGGCAGGTGGCTGTTGAGTGGCTTTTTAAGCCACTGGTTACAGAGCAGGTGGGCCCCTCCCTGGCAGTGATGATGTGTTATACAGCCACAACAGACCACCTTCAGCCCAAACAGGCTTCTGTGGATTCTTCTCAAGGATGCAGAAGGGCCAAAGGGCAGAAGCCTCCAGAAATACCAGCAAGACGTCAGGACCTGGACCACTGCTCTTTCTCAGCAGCCAGGCCCAAATATAGGGACCCCAGGGCTCTACCAGGTGCGGCAAGTACAATAAAGCAGACTTGATGGGCCAGCAGCACCTGCCCCCTAGGCTCAGCTGGTCTCCTCCCTTCTTCCACAGGCAGAGTGTGCCCCCCTACACACACACACACACACATGAGTGCGCGTGCGCACACACGTGCACTCCTTCCTGGGCCTCTCTGGGGGCCACTCCCAGCCTGACAGGCTGAGTCTTCCAATTCTCTGTTTTTTATGCCTCAGTGGTCAGGGTGTCAGGATCCAGCGTATGGAGGGAGAGCATGGTGACAGTGCTGGGCCGCAGCAGCCCAGCCTCGACATATCCATCAGTGCCACAGAGCCTCCTCCTCCTAGGGGGCAGGGTGGGGGAGTGGGAGACCCAGCAGCCTGGGGAAGGGGACAGCACCCTCCCCTCAGGGCTGCAGGTGCCCTTGGAGCTGCCCCATCACAGGCACTTCCTGACAGCGTGGCGTTTGGGCCTGGGGCATCTGGCTACGCAGGCAGAGGCTGTCTGCATCGCCCACCATCCAAAAGCATCATGCCCGTGTGCCAGGCCCAGCTCTAAGGCCATCTCTTCCAGGAGATCTCCTTGAGCTCCAGCCCCAAAAAGTGCAAGTCTGGGGGGTCCATTCAGCTGGAGTTGATTAGTTAATTGTGCCTGTGCTATCCATCCAAACCCCATCCCCAAATTAACAAAGGGCCATTAACAGTTTCAACTCCATTACAGGATGTAGCTAAGTCAGGGTTGCCCACCATCCTCGACCCCATCCACCCCTGCCTGGCTTTCTACAACCCCACTGGGATACCTCTTCCTCTAGGAAGCCCCCTTCCCCCACCGCCCATTGTCAGGTGCACTCAATCTCTCGCAGCACCCCACAGCACCGGGCTGGCCCAGACTGATGTGGGGGTCTCCTGGGACAAGAGAGTGCTGCCCTGCAAGTCTGCATCTCATTCTTCCCTGCACCCATGGGCCACCCACCCCCCAGTGCAATGCCCCGTCCATAGCAACAGCTGGTGCTCCATTCATCACCATAGCTTGCCTGCCTTTACCTGTAGCACAATGCTCTTGCACAATGTCCACATGGCTCTCTCCTTCACCTCCTTCTAGGCTTTGCTCCAATGTCATCTTCAAACCACTGCATTTTAAATAGCAACTCCTTTCACCCCATTCCTTTTTTCTGCTTTATTTTTTTTCCCATAGAACTGATCATAATTCAACCTATCTTGTTTACTGTGCTTATTTTGTTAATTCTGCCTCCTTTGCTAGGATGTGAGCTCCATGGGGCAGAGAGATTTGTCTGTTGAGCTCATGTCTCCATCCCAACATCTAGCAGAAGGGCTTAGCATCTAGCAGGCACTGAAAGCTATTTGTTGAATGAATGAATGAATGAATGAATGGGAACTCTAGGGACACAGATGATAGCTCCTACTACTTCTGTTATTAGTACTGATAGCCAGGTGTGTATTGAGCACCTGCTGGATGCCAGGACTCAGACCAGTTTATCTGATCCTTTGCCCAGGTTCTAGCTACCACACCATACTGCTCCTTAGTGGAAAATATGAATCCCCAGGGACACCCTGTCTGGAGTGCCAAGAGTGGTGGCATGATGGGCACCTTCAGTGGGACTCCTCTCCTGTGAGATGCCCTGTGAGAGTGGGCACTATGCATAAGGGGAGCTTGGCCATCTTGGCACGAGGCTGACCTTGGGGCTAGTGCAGCCACTTGCTGGGGACTCTGAGATGGTGTCTAGTTATCTCAAGTGCCACACAGGTAACTGGCTGAGGGTAGGAAGCCCTCATCCCAGGAGATGTGGGGAGGCCAGGTCCTCGATGGCTAAGGAAGCAGCAGACTACCCAGGTTCCAGCCCACATGCTCCCTATCACTGAACCCTGTGGCCCTCAGTCAATCTGGCAGAGGCTGGGAGCACAGGATCTGGAGCCAGACTGCCTGGGTTCAATCCCAGGTCTGCCTCTTCCTACCTCTGTGACCTTCAGCAAGTTACTAAACCTCTCTGTGCCTCAGTTTCCTCCTCAGTAAAGTAGGTACAATTAATAGATCCCACTGCATATCTCTGTTGTAAAGACTGAATGATACAGAGTGCCTGGCACACAGTGAATGCTCAAGAAGTGCCAGCCACTTGACAATGACCTGATCCTCGACACCAAGACCTCCTTAGCATTGAGAATCTCACTTAAACCTCCTGGCAATCTCAGAAGCTCACAAGGTGGCTGCAACTTTCCACATTATATATGTGAGGAGATGGGGCCTCAGGAAGGTAGGGAGACTTTTCCAGGCCAGGAAGCAGCTCCAAGGCTGGCCTCCAGCCTTCCTGCCCAGCATCCTCTGCCCATGGGACACTGCCTTCCCACCCCAGGCCTCTGGCTACCGCCAGGCCAGTGATGTCTCAGGGCCCTGCTTGTCTGCTGAGCCTGGATCTCACTTCTCAGGAGCCATGAGACTCCTAGCAGGGAGCCACCCTCCTTGGGGTTCCATGGGCCCCACCTGATGCTGGCTTTTTCTGGGTCTGAGGCTCTAATCTCCTGCTTGAGTTCACCACCATCATGATACCCAAAGAGAAGACATCTTCTTTCCTTCAAACCTTACCTAAATCATGGGAGGTTTTGCTATGAGAGGGAGAAAGGGGCAGAAAGGAGATGCACATGTCCCGCGGCAGGGGTGGGGCTAGAACATTCAAGAAGTGAGTGTCTAAGTTCCCATTTTAAGTAGCCTATGTTGGGGGCTATAACCTCCCCCCACATCTCTCATACATTAATGACTGCTGCACACTCCAGCGCCTTGGGCGGCCTGTTTTCTCCCTACATGGAAATCAAGGGAAGTGGCTGAGCGCCAAGTTTGGGTGGCCGGAATAAGATGAGAGATTGTGGCCCAAGAGCCAGGTGATGTCAGAGACCGTCCCCTGTAAACATCAGAGCATCCTGGGGAGGACATGTGACTTTTCCATGAGGCTGGGAATGAGGGTTTGAATAAAGCTTATCTCGATTTCAAGGTGCCAGGAGGAGCCTGCCAGCCCTTGTTGGGATTCTTTGCACTGGGTAAAGGAGGGGTAGGGCCAGAGTAGGCAATGACATGAGCAGGGAGGTGGGAACAGGTGGATGGTATATGATGGAATTCTGGGGCACCTGGGCTGATGCCCCCTCTTAAGCTGTTGCCAACAGGACCAAGAACACAAGGATGGTCCCCCTTCAGGTTCATGCCCAGGGTCACACCTACACATGTGCCCCACATTCCGCTCCTGCTCAGACTTGCCTACTCTGGAGGAGATGACAGAAAATAGCCTTTGTAATCAGACGCACCAAGCTCCAGGCCAGGCTTTGCTACTTAGAGCTTGCATAGCCCTGGACATGTGAAATGAGCCTCAGTTTCATCTGTAAATTAGAGGGTAGGGAAGTCCCTACTTTTTAAGCTTGTGGAGAAGATCAAATGACCTAACAGTCACAGAAGATCTTTGCAAACCCCCACATGGTAGGATTTAGTACCTTCTCATCACGGATGGTATAGAGAGCTAACTCAGTCATTCCTGCCCCCACCCAAACCTTCCAACCACAGCCTCAGCTTCTCCCCCATCCCCTTGGAGCCTGGGGAAGGATTGTGGGGACAGAGAGAAATGCAGCGCTGCAGAAGTATCAGAACAGCAGGGGAGAGATCATCATACATGACACACTCTGGTTTTACAGACATGAAACTGGGGCTCAGAAAGGAGAAGGGATTTGGTAGAGGCCGAGCACGTGG